TTCAAACGCCATAACATATTTTCTCAATTTCCCTTACGTAGTTTACGGCGAGAAATATTTCCGTCGGAGCAAAACTACAGCTTAAAATTCTGCCCTACTTAAATTTCTCGCGTTTTTCCCTTCGGGCCGAGTTCCTTTCCATATTGCCCCCAAGGACTCATCCAATTCGACCTCGTAAAATGTAAATAAGTGTTATATAAAACTACGGAGTACTTGAGCGAGACCGCCCACCAATATCAATCTGCCAAATACTTTCTTGTTTCATCGAAAACCACTTCTGACTTTATTGGTTCCTAGTTTATTTATTTGCGCCGGTTTATAGGTACACATGTACGGGCTTTTAGATGAAGACTCGGCTATTTCGCCGATAAGCTTTCTCGTAAAGATGTCCTCTTGTTTCATGGCTTTATATAAAGCAAGGTCGTATTACGACTGTATGCTATTTTTATTAGGATTATTAAGTCCTAATAGTAAGTTTAAATTAATATTTTTTAATATTAAGATTAGATTCAGGATTAAGCTGTTATAGTCTGTATACACGAGAAAAATAAAATTTTGGAATCATTATTTTCACTAGGCATACATACTATTTAGATTACGGTTAGAAAAAAGAAGCAATATAAATAAAATCACATTTTATTTACACCCTTTTCGGTTTTGGCAAAAATATTGCCAATGAATGTCCAAACTTTTTTAAATCCATATTTTTCTAAAAGAGCTTGTAACGGTTGGGACCGTTATTTCGTTATTTCGGCACAATCACCTCTTACTTAAATGTCATTTATCGTTTATGCCTTGTGTCAAAAGTTGTCATCTTCATTTTATTTCAATTGATCACATTTATTTTTATTTATCTTAAAATCCGTCTGATTTTATAAGGTGAGTTTTAATAAGGATTTCTTAAATAAATTGTCAAGTTTTGAACATCAATATCAACAATGAATAAAACATGGTTAATTTTATATAAAATTATATATAATTTTTTTGGAATAAGATATTATGCTTTTTATATTTAAATATATTAAATTAGATTTTTCCATCATATTAATTTTAGTTTCTGTGAAATAATTCGTTTAATAGTTTGAAATTATTTATTTAATAGTTAAAGCCTTTTATCTAAATCCTATTCAAATTTACTATCTTAACATTTTAACCCTTTTTTAGCTCATGGCTATATCTAGATGGTTTTGGATTCATCTCTAGACGTTTCGAGTTCAAGTTTGAATACTGAAGATCATTCACACGTTTCATCCTAAGTTGGTTGAGTTTGAATACTCTCTATCTTGAAGATCATTCACGTGCAAAATTATGCAAAATTACGAATAAGGATTCCGAATCCCTTTGTGGAAGTTGCCTGATGATATACCATGAGATAACCTAGATTTACATTCCGTATATAATCTTACTTACCAAAAGATAATTGCTTACTCAATAAATCGTTTAAATTTGAATTTAGTACAACTTATGTGAATTAGAATTTGCTAACTACCTTATCTTAAGCATGGTTTGAGTATTACTTGTTAGTGCTTTAAATATAGTGGTGCCCAACTTCTTTTACAAAGTTATACGAGTTATTTAAAAACCTAACCTACGCCCTATCAATTGAGCTCAAACACATTAAACAAGTAGATAGAATAACTAGACATCACGTTATAAAAATGGCGCCTCAATTGGGTTAAATAGCTCTTAACTTTGAAATAGTTTTCTTATAACTTGTTCTAATTACCATAGGTATTTCACAGAGGTTAACTAAACTAACTGCATGTCTTGTATTATTACTAATACTTTCCTACCTCTTATTTTAACCTTTTCTATAAATCTGCATATCGTATCGTCAAGTTTTACATAATATCTGCATTTTGTACTAGGTCCAGTGTTTATTTATACATATTTTGTTAGTGATATATCTAAATTTTCATTATACACTGATAAAAGTGTATAGTATATGGATTTTTACCTAGAGTTGATTTTTGTGACTATCAAATAAAAATTTTTTTGTTAGTGATAAAATTTGTGCCTTCATTTAGTTAAATATATTGCTTTTTACATTTTTTTCTGACTGATATCCTCTTTATTAAAATGATTTCAAAACATTTAAAAACTCATGAGTTAACCTATGAAATTTTAATCAGAGAGGTAGACTTTCCTTCTACTGTAGAACAAAAAAGAAAGGTTTTGAGTAGTTTTTTTGAGTCACACAATAGAAGTTTTTCAGAAAAAAATAATGCTAATAACGTATGTCCTAAAGTTTTCGGAAAAAAATCTATTTTTATTTATTTAGCAACGGTCCAAAGGCTTATTTATAGCTCATGTAAGGCCAAAACTACGTGCCGTCGAAGAACATGGACCCATGTATGTTCTATAAAAATATCAAATAACGTTTAGAGTTCTAGAAATACTTTTCCATTGTTAATTTTTAAATAAATTTATTTCCCAACCAAAAAAATAGTTGTTTTATTTTTTCCGAAAACTTTGGGGATATACGTTAATCATGAAGATGATATCACAGAAATGGAATTGTCAATTAAAGAAGTCAATACAGAAATAGAAAATTTTACTGGTAATAAATCTGATCCTGCTTTTAAACGAATTAATTTTAGATTATTTCACTTGTCTAATAGGGTAGCTAATTTAAAAGTAGACTCTAACGAAGAAGCTACAGCTCAAAATACAATAAAAACATGTTAGAAGCTGATTTCTCAGAAGAAATTAATAATAATTCTTCTAGTTTTAACTCTAGTACTGTATCTACAGAACAAGTTAGTTATCCTTCATATACAAGTGTAGATGTTTGTAAATGGGGTGTATTCTATGACGGTAACAATTCGTTGTTTGATTTTTTGGAACATGTTGAAATGTTAAGATTGTCTAGAGGTCTTTCGAAACAACAAGGTTAAAAACTTTGAGAGTTTTACTTATACAATAAAATTTAATTTTGGGTATAGACTTTTTAAATTTATTTAATATTGATATTAGATGTAATGAGTTTTCATATTGTTTATTATCATGTGTATGGGCTATAATTTCTATACAAACAATGTCAAATCTGTTTTTTGAAGAAAGATCTAAACTTAATGGAGTGGTAGATCTTTTTTCTGCTATAGCTCTAAAAGATTCTCTAGGATGTACACATTCAATTAAACATAATATTGATACTGGAGATACAAAACTAATTTTTTCTAGATAGTACCCACTTTCACCTGCTATGATGGTCCAAGTAAAAAAAAACTTAATGATTTACTACAATTAGGTATAATACAACCATCTGTTTCTCCTTGGTCTACTCCACTTTGGATAGTTGATAAGAAAACTAGTACCGAAAATAAATTATGTTTAGATAGTAGAGATTTAAATCAACACACTGTTTCTGATAGTTATCCTATGCATTTAGTGGACTCAATATTGAGTAAACTTATGGATGCAAAATTTCTTACCTCCATTGATCTTTGAAAGGCTTTTCTACAGATTCCCCTAACTGATACCTCCAAATCTAAAACTGCTTTTTTCAGTTTTTGGTGTTGGATTATTTGAATTCACAAGAATATTTGGCTTAAAAAATGGTCCTTGTACAATGGCTCGTTTAATGGACATAGTCATAGATCCTTTTATTCTTCCTTACTGTTTCTGTTATTTGGATGACATTATTGTAGCAACTCCTACTTTTGAACTTCATATTGACACTTTGAAAAAAATTGTTTAATAGATTGAAAAATGCTAATCTTACAATATGGAGAAAAGTGAATATTGTCTTCTCTTCATTTTCTTGGATTTTTATAGATAAGGGTGGTTTAAGGATGTGGTGGTGTGACTTAGTAGGGACGCCTATATGTCAGGGCAGTGCGCGATGAACGCTTACAGCGCAAGTGCGAGTGAAATGATGCACCGATTTTAGTCAGTAGTGATGGGAAGACCCGGTTCATTTTGACGACCCGGGTCAGACAAGGTCAATCATTTAAATGACCCGTTCACAAAGATTCGTTCATATGAACGATATGACCAGTGAATGAGAATTTATACATCGCCTATGATTTGCACAGTACGCGTTAATGGTAAGACCCTGTCGGCACTTTTTATGAACCGGATCATAATGGTTACAGTCTCGTCTCATCTCAGTTTATTGTTGAACATTCGTAATTCGTAACAGATATCGATTGATACAGATTTATAATTATGACTATAATTATATTATGAATTATGTTGATTAGGTGATTTGATTTAATGTATTTTATTTGTATTTACTTTCTGCAGATAATAAAAAAATAAACATAGCATTAAACAAAAATTAAGCCCACTTGCCGACATGCCGAAACCGATCTGATGGCGATGAGGCAATAGGAAACCCAAAAAAGTAGGTGTAAGCGGAGCAAAATCAGAAGCTAAAAATTAATTGTCTTAAATGGCAAAAAAATATATATGCATATATTGCATATATACTTAGAAATTTTCGGTGTATTTTAATTATATTTTGTAGGTTGTAATAATATTTTGTAGCTAATTTTCAAATATTAAATATTTTATATTTTAAGAATTGCTCTGCTCTACCCATTTTCAGCGATACGGGCGGCAAAGATCAATTAATTCCCGAACATTCAGATAGAACTTTTTTTAAATGTACGCCAAATGTACCAGAGGAAAAGCTGATAGTCTAAAAAACAAATATAGAAATATGCCGAAAGACTTTGTCGCTTTGAAATTATACCGAAAGCCGAAAGGCTTGCCGCTTTGATATTATACCGAAAGGCTTGCCGCTTTAACATTATGCCGCTACTGTTTGATTATCGGCATCGGTACGCGTCAAAGAGTCAAAGGTGTCCATTGTTTTAGTAAAAGCCGTAAAAGGTGCCTATTTTTTTAGGAAAGGGGGTGTGCTTGTTTTTTCTACAGTCGGTTTTTCATTCTTATTCTTTCCTCAGTTGCTCAGTTTCCTGTTAACTTTAGTGTTGGTATGCACGTTTCCCTTCTTTCAAAAGTTAACATTTTTTTCGAAAACTGTACTTATTATGTCTGACAAAAACAAAAAACGTAGCGATGTATGGAATTACTTTTTTGAAAGTGGTTTAAATAAAGCAAAATGTAAATTTTGCTCAAAAATATTGTCATACAAGGGCGGTGCGACAGGTAATCTTATCCGTCATGTTAAATTAGTGCATACCTTATTACAACAACAAGAGAAAAACAATAAACTTCCAGAAGATGAAAGAACATCTACATCCACCGCTCCCATTACAGAACCCAGTACATCAGCAGAAGAAGCAAGCAGTCTACAGTTGCCTAGAAAAATATTAAAACCCAATGTGCTATCTTCATTTATTAAGCGACCGTTAAATGACAGAAGAACACAAGAAATTCACGATGCTCTAGTTAAATTAATTGTTAAAAATTATCTTCCTATACAATTAGTAGATAGCGAGTATTTTCGCTCATTTGTCGAAAAATTAAATAATAGTTACCAAGTTCCGTCCCGCAAAACTGTTTCCAACACTTTGATACCACAACTATATACTATGGTACAAGAAAATGTTAGACAATCTTTGGAAAATTTAGTGGGATGCTGTATAACAACAGATGGTTGGACATCCTGTGCCAATAAAAGTTTTATTAGTGTTACTGTACATTATATCGATAAAAACAATACAATGCAATCAAATTTATTAGACTGTTATGATTATAGTGACCGACACACGGCTGAAAACCTGTGCAGTGAACTAAAAAGAATTACTCGCGAGTGGAATATTCATAATAAAATAGTTGCGGTAGCAAGCGACAATGCTGCAAACATTGTGGCAGCAATAAGATTAACAGGCTGGAAACATATCCCATGTTTTGCTCACACGTTGAACCTTATTGTACAGTCATCCCTTGAAGAAAATGCAACAATAGTTCAAACGCAACGCAAAATTAAAAAAATCGTTGAATATTTCAAACGCAGTACACAAGCCAGCGCTAAACTCTCAGAAATGCAAACTCAATTGGGCAAACCTATTCTTAGTTTAAAACAGGATTGTATTACTCGGTGGAACTCTACACTTGATATGTTCAATCGCATTTTACAAGTGAAGGAATCTCTCATGTCCGTCATCGCAATAAACTATCCTAATGTGGCAAATATTGATAATAATGATATTAAAATTATTGAGGAAATATGCAATTTATTACAAGTGTTTAAAGATGTCACTGAAGAAATGAGTAGCGAAAAACAAGTAACAGCTTCAAAAATTATTCTTTTAAGTTCTGCGCTGAAAAAATATTGCGCTAACTACTTGATAGAAAACTTAGATGTTCCTCCGCAAGTAATAGAATTTGGGCAAAAGTTGCTTGATAACTTAAACACTCGATTTCATTTAATTGAGGACAACAAAATATTTGCTGAAGCTACTTTCTTGGACCCTCGATTCAAGCGTCATGGTTTTTCAAAAGAAACTACATTTGAAACAACAAAACAGTCTTTAATATCACAAGTTACTGCAATGATTAATGGCCAACAACAAAATCAAATAGAAATTAATGAATCCAAAGCTGTGGTTAAGCCTGAGAAAACTTCAATTTGGAACGAATTCGATGAAAAAGTCAACAAATTGGTTCAAAAAAATAATCCCAGAGCAGCTGCTATAATAGAAATCAACAAATATGTTGACGAACCCATTCATCCAAGAAAAAGTGATCCGTTGGAATGGTGGGTCCAGAGAAGTCATACATATCCACGATTATTTGAATTGACAAAAAAAAAATTATGTATCGTTGCAACATCCGTTCCATCGGAGCGAATTTTTTCGAAAGCGGGGCTTACAATAACAGATCGAAGAAATCAGTTAAGCGGAAAGCGCGTGTCACAAATTTTGTTTTTAAATGCAAATCTATAGCTATCCCTTAGCAACTATTTAAGTAACTTAAAAAAAAATGTTTTACTGTAAATTCCATTTTGTTATGTTTTATATGCACAGTGTTTATTAGGTTTTAGAAACAATATTTATTTTTACTAATATTATGTGTATATTTATTACTCCTAATGCAACAAAAATTGTTATTTAAATTATATTTTATTTTTTAACATTCAATTAAAAATATAAAACTATAGCTTTTTTTTTAAATAAGCGCGCCTTGGTACTTTTTACTTCTCTCTCGTTTCAGTGTTTAATCGATCGCAATCACGAATCACGATCATCGTTCACTGCTTTACATTTTCACTCATTCATTATATTCTGTTCAGTCACCAATCAATCGGTGAAAAAACAGCTCTTCAATTCATAAGCACATTAAAAATAAACAGGGTCATATGAACGATAGGGTCACGAAGAGTGATTGAATCGATCACGGCTCTTCGGGATGATTCGTTCTTTTTGAACGGGTCGTTCATGAACGACACATCTCTATTAGTCAGTCGAGCTTGGACCACCGAGTGGCCAATGTCGATGCTCGACATCAATTACGAACTCTGATTTATTTTTTTATGTTTACGTAAAGTTGCCATCATGGCATTGTAGTTTTTGTTTAAATAAAAAGTTGTTTGTGTCTTAAAATTTTTCTGGTCCTTGGAGAACCCACATCCCACTTCAAGGACGTATCCCGAAAAAATTTCTGCAATTTTAAATTATAAAATTCCCTCAAATACTATAGATATTACACGTCTCATAGGCTTAATAGGTTGGCATAGGAGGTTCCTGAAAAATTTCTCTACAGTTTGTTCACCTATTAATGACTTATTAAAGAATAAGAAGAAGGGACAGTCTATAGTATGGACACCAGAAGCTGATGCTGCGTCTGTAGAGATTAAAAAGATGCTTACCACTAGCCCAATACTTGCAAGTCCAGATTATTCAAAACAATTCATTATCCAAACGGACGCTAGTAAAACTTATATCAAGAATGTAATGGTAATGGTAACTTTTAGTCTAATTATTTTATTAATATGCCCACTTCCTTTTTATTAATTTAATTTTTAAAAGTGTTAGAAAATCAAATAACGATATATTTTGGCCAGTTTATTTGTCGGTTGCTCTAATCTGAATGCAACAAAAGACAAGATATTCATCTTTGTAATAGTTTTTTGATTCATTGAGAGCCATTAACATAATATAATTCTTTTTTGATTGCTGTTGCAAGTTAATCACTTGTTGTTTTAAATTTTGTTTGTCATCAGATGCAGCCGATTTGTTGGAATCTCTTTTTCTACTTTACTTCCTAATTTTCTCCACAATGTCTGTCAAAACGATATCTAATCGGAACTCGTTTCGAATTCTAAACGGGAATACAGAAATATGTATTTATAGCTGAATAATATATCAGTGACAGTACAATAAAGAATTATTTGCCTTCGTTTAAATCAGCATTGAACTCCCGACAATATAAAAGTTCCATTTCCAATTTCGTTCTTAAAATATTTTCTCAGAATTTCCATCCTCATCTCGCCGCAGATCGCGATGCTCGCCTGCCTTTCCATCCAACAATTCACCTCTGGTAACCTGGTGAAGAGATATTGATCTAATAAATCTACTCCGTCGAACGCTAGTTCCCTTTCTGGAAGGATCAAAGGAATTTTTCATGGTCTTTCCGGGTTTAGGAAGGGATTAGGTGGACGAAACCGTTCGGTCACTGACTGAATTTAATAATATGCTTAGTTTTAAAAAAATGACAATAATATATCGAACTTCAAATTGAAGCAAATCTACTGAATGACCTCGTACTTCAATCAAAAAAGAAAATTATATAAAATGCTTAAAAATATTATTAACAAAATGAAAAATAGGATTTTCAGATCAAATTTGTAAAAATTTTTCGACGCTGCGTCGACTCCATAGAGTGTTTCTAACGCTATTAAAAAGAAGTGGCAAAAGTGGGGTTATAGGAACCGCAAGGTAAATTAAGCCGCTTAACCGTATTTACTTTTGAATTAAAAATATGAGTCACTGCCAAGTGGTTTGCATCATTAAATTCCTCTTTAAAGGCTCTACAAAAGGTTTTTAAAAAGTCACCGCTGAGTTGTCCGTAAGGCCATAAAATAGAATTTTCAGATCAAATTTGGGGGAAATTTAAGTAATAAGTGTTTTTGTTAAATAACTTGACTATTGTTTAAACTAGGAAAGAGTGGTTTGCATAGTTGAATTTTTTTTAAAGGCTCTACAAACTGGTTCTTACTAATTCATGCTGGGTTGTCTATAGAGCAAGATAGTAGAATTTTCAGATTGAATTTTAAGAAAAACAAAAAGAAAATATATACCTTTGGAATCACATTAAGAAAATATTAAGTAACCAAAAGAAAAATGAACAAATTTCAAAGTATTCTATTAAAATTGGGAAGCAACTTCTTCTTAACTCCACATTGTGATGCCTTATTTAACTAGAAAAGAATTAAAAACTTATTTTTATAACAAAATCACAAGAACTTTAAACTTACAGCAGCAAAACTTTAAAAGTTTTGAAAGCAAAACAATACCTGCTGTGCCCCATTTTTCTTTTGGGCTATCTATAGCGCGGCATTTTTGTAATTTAAAACTGTCATATGCACTCTAACTTACTCGTATTCATACTATTCAAATAAAAGAAGAAAAAAAAAAATGTTCCGAAGTTTCGCAAAGTTTTCAGGTAATTTCATTGTAAAATGAGAGGACGTTTATAAAATATGAGGATAATTATTATTAAAAGTCATAACCTTTAGATAGAAACTACGGGTAGGAAACTTTCTTATTCATAGTAGTTGTTTGAAATACTTTTCATGATAATTAAAAATTCTGAGATACTTTTTTTATTATATCTGATGTTGAATATTATAGCTTGCTCAGTAAAACAGAAATAAAAGACTAGATATGTTCACAAAACTACAAACCAAACTGTCATGCATTGATTTATTCTTCTGTAATCCGCTACCAATAATATTTTACAGATACTTTTAAATTATATAGCACAAAACTTTACATCATAAATCAAACATCGGTATTGCCAGTATTCATGTTGATTAAAATCACTTTAACGTCACAGCGGGCTATCGATTATAATATAATTTAATTTATATTCGTTCTGCGCTTGCATATTAAATTACGAAAAGTTATAAATTTTCATTATTGTCTCATTATGATACTACTGTCAGTTGAAGATTGATTATCTTCAAATTTTTGGCAATAAATTGAGTCAAAATACATTTAGGGAAATTCATTACAAACACTTCAGTAAGAAAAGCTTTTGATACTACTCTCTTTAGATATATTTCTGAGAAGTATCGTTAACGACCCTCTGGGGTATTTAGACATAAAATATTGGGTGTATTATACAGGGTGTTTGTAAAAGGTCTTTACAAAAACATACCACATATTCCTTAGACCAAAATAAGTCGATTTAAGTAAAATTACCTTAGTACAAAGTTGCTTCGTTTGGGCTCCAGAGGGCCTTGAAGTTACAATTTTTAAATTGTAACTTAAATTTGCGTAGAACTTGATTTTTTAAATAATTGCACCTTTAAAAATTCTACGCCAATGGAAGAAAAAGAGTTTGAGTATGAAATTTAGATTGCGCAACTCATTTACTTTAAAAAAGATACTCTTGATAAGACTCGATTACTCTCATGGTTTTGACGAAATTTGCATTTTAGTAATTTTAGAACATAAACAATAATTATTAAAATACAAACTTTGTCAAAACCATGGGAGTAAATCGAGTGTTATCAAGGGTACTTTTTTGTAGTAAATGAATACCCAATCCAAATTTCATACTCAAACCCCTTTTTTGCCATTGGCGTAGAATTTTTAAAGGTGCAATTATTTAAAAAATCAAGTTCTACGCCTATGTATTATTATCGGACAAAATTTTATAAGATGAAAAACATAAAAATGTACTTTTTTCATATCTACTTCAACACCTCTAATCGAGACTTTTAACAAAAATACTCACTATTAATTATGGATAACCATGAGAGCCATTTATCAGCTTATGTTCTTGGTATAGCAAAGAAAAATGGAGTTGTTATCTTGACATTGCCACCGCACACCTCTCACAAATTGCAGCCTTTAGAAATTTCAGTTTTTTTCCCATTCAAATCCCAATATAATGCTACAGTTGAATCGTGGATGCCAAGGAATCCAGGCCGTCCGATTTCAATTTATGAAATAGCTGAATGTATAAATCTATGACTCCCAAAAATATAATAGCAGGTTTCAAAAACTCAGGTATTTTTCCTTTTGACAAGAACATTTTCACGGACGACGATTATATTGCTAGCAGTGTCACTGAACGATGCCAGCCAGCTGAAGGGGATTGCGAAGACGAAACATTTAGAACCCATATGGGGAATCAGGATTGCAATGACACAACAATTGAAACCTCTAAGACTGATACTCAAGAATCTGAACTCACCAAAGGAACTAATATTATTGAAAAATTTATATCGTCGGCAGTATTGAAAGGCTATCCGAAAGCACCAGAATTAAAACAATAGAACAGGGCTAGAAAAAAGAAGAGTATCATAGCTACAGACACGCCAGAATTTAATGAAATAAAAGCAAAATCCAAAGAGAAAGTGAGACAAGCGGAATTAAAAATGAGAAAAAAGCAGGGAAAATGAAATGACGTCAAGACCAGAGTGTTAAAAGAATCTTCTAGTGAAGAGTCTGATAAGGAATCCTATCAGGAAAGTACCAGAGGGTCCTCTGAAGAAGCTAGTGATATTAAAGATGCCTTGGATAAAGATAACTTTCTTGCACTGTAGTGACAACCAATGCTGGGGGACTACGTTTTAGTTCAATTTGATGAATTAAAAACTGTTATTTTTTGTGATTTTATTTAATCTTAAATAAAGTTTCAAAAAAGACCATGATATTTTTTATTTTTAGAAATCTTTTAAAATCCATAAAAAATTATATTATGAATTTTTATG